ATAGCACCCACCCCACCCCCTCCTACACACACACACACACACACACACACACACACATGCACAGAGTCTTCGCCATTGTATCCATTCAAGTGTCTTGTTTTTATGAAAATGAAGTGGGGATCTTCAATGCGGTTATCTTATTACAATTGGTAGTCCCACAAGAGGACAATAGCTTCAAACATGATCAAAATTGTGTAGATTTTGGTTTAAAAAAACAACAAAAACAAGTTCAGCCTGTCAGTCACAAAGCAAAAGACAAAACAAACAATTCTGTTGGTTGTTGTTTTTTCCCCTCACATCTCCCTTTATGTTTCGTAAAATTAGCTCTTTACTTCTTTTTCGTTTGCACCAAAAAAAAAGAGAAAATCGTTCAAATGCTGTTGGTTGCAGACAATGCAAACATTATTGCTACAACAAAAGAAAAGCTGTAAGTGTTTCAAACATGTAAAAAAAAATTGTGATTAATGAATCTGAAACAGGAAATGTTAAAACCTAACGCGGGAATACACTAGGAATGTCCTTCTGTTATCTTGTCGACTTCCACAAAAGAATTCACCGTGAGGGTAATGAAATCAAGACATCAAATATTTTGGGCCAAATAGATTGATTAGACCTTTTTTGAGACAATTATCCTTGACTGTAGACCGTTACTACTGATTTATCAGTTATAGCGAAGCTGGAGAAAGCATTGACAACAACGGGATAAACACACAGGCACACACGCACTCATAAACTCATTCAACAATACATAAACACACCCACAGACAGGTGAACACACATGCCTAAACACACGTACACTTACATGAATGTACAATTGCACACATACGCACACGCACACAAACACACACACACGCACACACACACACACACACACACACACACACACACACACACACACACACACACACACATACACACATACACACACAGACAAACACACAGACAAACACACGCACATACACACACACACATATTCGAATACACTTTGCCCTGTGTCTTTTCTAGGAAGACATATGGCAAAGTGTATTAACATTTACTTCTAAGCCCTATATCTTAAAAACGTTGGACCTCTCATGAGATAGACCTAAATATTGACAGGGAGATCAACGTATTGATAAGCTTGACAAAGCGTACGTGTTTTTCGTCAACGTCGATTCAATTTATATCTTTATGGAGGCAGGTTGCTTCGACAAGTTCCCGATAAAACTCCATAAATCGTAAATGTGGAGGCAGTTAGGAAGCCAGGAGTTACACAGGTAGACAATCAAACATACATATTATACACATACATATTTAATATTTTGTGTGTCTACACGTGTCGCAAAGGAATGGATTGGGGGAGTGGTAGTGGGGATTATACTGTAATTTTACGCAAAATGCACATGCGTCTCTGGAATGGCTGTTGGCGTTGACCCCATTCGATTTCCGAGTGGGAATACATTTTGATGGAGTATTACGGTATTTCCTCTGGGATGCTGTATCTCTCTCAGCCCGAGCTGGCCCTTTCAATCAGGGTCGGAAGCCAGCCTCCTGAACGTATCTAAAACATTTTCGATAGGGGTGTAAAAACATCAGCATTATGAAATGATATTCCAAAACGCATCTCTCCTCAGCCACTTACCACAGACATGAGTCGTTACGGAGCCGGAGGAAAGTACAACTACCGTGACCTGGAACAGTTCCGTGACCAAGGTCAGTGGAAGACAGTCCCGCAGTACGGCGCGCGGAGATGGGATCCCCCGCTTGGCAACGGCGTCTACCTGTTCATCCGGTTCCCGGGACACTCGGCTGAGTTTGCGGCTCAAACTGTGGTGTTGGGGAAAAGATGTATCTTGTCCTACAGAGGCGAGTTTGTGGGCATTGCCAGGAAGGTAGGTTGTGTTAGTTTTTAGTTTTTGTATGAGTTTTGCGGCACTTGTAACACGATAAGTCATATAGATGCCAACGATTAAAAGTTTAAATTTAAAAAAAAAACCCAACAAAACAACAATAAGAACAACAACAATAACAACAATAACAACAACAACGAAAGGAAAAAGCAATAGACGTCTGATAGGAAAGAAGAAGCAAAATACATGACAGACTCAGCCAGTCACCCACCAAGGTATATTAACTTTTTATAGCATTATACGATAATAATATGCTGCAACGCGTTGCCTTTAGGAATATATTCTTTTAATCGATCTGTCACATTCTCCTCTCCGATTTGTCACTCCTTTCCGTTCTGTCGTGTTTCACTATATCTCTATCCACCTCTTTCTGCCCCTCCACAGATCCACAACCTGAGCTCTGGTCCCCGCCAGGAAGAGTCCCTCGTCATGTATCTGTTTGAGTCAACATTCGGGGCCGAGAGGTTCTTTGTCAGTGACGGCAGGTTCAAGCAACACGACTTTCCCCCACCTGCTGGGGCCTGTGAGGCTTGGACGACGGTCAAGTATCTAGACACGAAAGATGAGGAGTGTACGTATCATTATGTGTATATGCGTTTGTGTATGAGCTAATATTTTATATAATGTATGTATAAACATAAACACACACACACACACACACACACACACACACACACACACACACACACACACACACACACATACACGTTGATATGGTGCGTCAAAAATTAGTACTACAAACGTTCCAAGGTGCCGCGATCCTGAATTTAGACATTTTCATGTTTTCTGAAAAAAAAGAATGTAACGTAAAACACTAGAGGGAAAACCTTTTTTTATCATAGGTGTCATCCAAATATATGCACCAACATCAGAGCAGGACAAATAGGAAATTGAGACTTTTTATGAAGACCTCGATAAGGCAAGGAAAAAGTTAAAGTCACAAGATGTAAAGGTAGTCATGGGAGACTTTAATGCCAAAGTAGGAAGTGCACGTATAGAAGATATAGTTGGGCCATGGGGACTGGGTAAAGAGAATGAACGCGCGCAGGGAACGACTGGTAGATTGGGGCAGAGGAAATAATTGTTTGATATCAAACACCTGGTATGAAAATCACCCAAAAAGACAATACACTTGGAAAAGTCCTGGCGATAGAAGTAGGAATCAAATCGACTTCATACCTATTCAGAAACGTTTTAGAAATACGGTTAAATCATCCAAATCACTGCCAGGAGGTGGGTGGTTGGCGGGTGCTCTGGTGTGGTTTGCTTCTTCTTTTCTATCAAACATCTGTCGTCTTTATCTCCCCTTCTTCGTTTTTATGTTTGTTGCTCTCTTGTGATACCTCTAATCTTCTGGCGCTCATATGACCTTATGCAGTTGCGAGCGCCGTAATATCTCTACTAAAACAAAAAACTAAAAAACTGCCAGGAGCACACTGTGATAGTGACCATATACCAGCCATTTGTAAAATGCGGATAAGACTGAAGAAACTTAAAAAGTCAAAGTACCAACAAAAAATTTGATACAGGTCTTTTAAAGACAAACCAAAAACTGAAAGAACATTTCTCCATAGTAAGCAATAAGTTTCAAGCTTTGGAAAACATTAATAAATCGGAAGAACTCTGGAGCAAAATGAAAGACTCAATAATGGAAGCTGCGGAAGAAAATATCCCCCCGAAAGCAAAAAAAAAGCTAATAATAAATGAATGACACAGGACGTATTAAAACTAATGGAAGAGAGAAGAAGGGCAAAAGCTAATGTGGAAAAGTACAACATCTTAAACACGGAAATAAAGAAAAAATGCAAGGAATAAAAAGAAACATGGATACATGATCAATGCCAACAAATAGAGAAGAACCAAAATAAAGACAGCAAATACATGCATTCCGAAATCAAAGAAGTAAGTGGGATAAAAGGATGCTCAAATACAGGATGCGTAAGATCAAAAGGAGGAGATATTTAAATGGACAACGGGGATGTCTTAAACAGCTGGTCAGAATACATAGAGGAACTTTTCAAAGATAAGAGAGGAGATAAACCGATAATAAACAATGAAATAAATGGACCGCCAACACTGAAAGCAGAATGCAAGCTGCCATTAGGAAAATGAAACAAGCAAAAGCCACTGGGCCAGGTAATATTCCAGTTGAAGTGATTGTCGCGCTTGAAGAACTAGGTACTGAAACGCTGCTGTACGAGTTAGACAACATCTGATGCCAAATGTTCTACAGAAATAAGACGGAGAATTACAATGGATAAGACTAGTTTCAATAAAATGAGCCCAATCCTGAAAAATAGAAACATCTCAATGAACACCAAATTGAAAGTTCTGAAATGTTATGTTTGGTCAACACTTCTATATGGCTGTGAATGCTGGACAATCACTAAAGACATTGAAAATAACATAGAATCAACAGAAATGTGGTTTCTTAGGAGACTGCTAAGAGTATCGTGGAAGGAAAAGAAATCAAATGAGGTAGTGCTTGATGAAGCTCACGTGGGACACTCAATGTTAAGAACAATCAGGAAACAATAAATGCAGTTTTTGGGACACATAAATAGACAAAAGGGTCTTGAACATCTAGCTCTCACTGGCAAAATTGAGGGCACGCGAGGAAGGGGAAGGCCCAGAACAACATACTACGGAAACCTAAACAAATGGGTAACAGTAACAGGGAAAGATGAGGGAAACGTAGCTTTTTTTAGAGCATCCGAGCAAAGGAATGAATTGAGAACCATGATCGCCGATGTCTGTTGGAGATCTGGCACTGGATGATGATAAGTCGTATATTATTATGAAGTGTCTGTACTTATTGTATTTTAAAAACAAAGAAAGAATACAACCTATCGTACACTTTTTAGATTTACACGATGGTGTATTTCAAAAGATGACATCATTTACTTTCCAATGTAGTCCTATGCAAAACCAATGAACGGCAGAATGTATTTCTTTGATGATATAAACCAAACATATTTTAGCACGCCTTGGTTATAAATTATGTATATTATTATTCTGATTGCGACGGCATCTCATCTTAATCTTAGAATTGGTTTTTAAAAGTCTCAATAAAGAACCGTTACTAGATCGTGGGCATAGTCTCTGTTTCTC